ACGAGAATTTAGAATGGGAAGCATTGAAATGGGGGGAAGCCTAATAATGTCGCATGTCTGGAATGAACATCCCATCTGAGGGATGGGGGCGGGGAGAGAGGAGAGTGAGACAGGACCAGGAAACTGGGACAAGGAATCCAGAGCTGTAGTGGGGGGCAGTTGAAATCAGATGAGGAGCTGGGGCGGGTTAGACAGCAATAGGATAGACATAGACTGGAGGGGACGGGGAAGAAGGGTCTTTGATTACTAGAGACCACTCCATTCAGGAGCCTGGGATAGACCCAGGATTCCTGAGTTTCACAGTTCCTCTTCTGTCAGCAGATATCTGTGATATCTCAAGGGTGAGAGTAATTAACGATTAACAATATACTAAGGGTCATGGTGTTTTTCTAAAAGCTTTTTCTAAAAGCTATCCTCTAGGAATTATTTTGGGAAAGTTCTATGTCTGTGCTATACAGGCGGTGAGACCAGGTGATCACCGGATCCCTTCTGGCTTTATCATCTCAGAACTAGGTACATCAATTCACATGCAAAATTCTCATTGAATTCAATAGGTGTCCTTGCCCTGTGGCTTAAGGTGAGGGCTGCAGCAGGGGCCGTTCAACCCCTCTCGCAGCTTCCTAGGGCCCCCTCTCATGGCTCTGTGCACCTGTGTCTGTCATTGTTGTCCTCTCCCCTCCCCCCGCCCCGCTCGCCCAATGTGTCCTGATATTTCACTTCCTGCGATCTGGTCACCCTACATACACCTGGCCACCCTACAGGGAAACAGGTGGAAGCCGGCTCTTTAACAGGGCAGTCAAAGGTTTTATACCTCTGCCCTGTGACTCACCTCCCACCTTTAATGAGCCCTCAGGCTCAACCAGCTCCGGCCTCTTCTCGGCCGGACATATTGGCCCTTCGGAGGGGTTTCTTTTTCTACCGCTGTTGGTTCCTGCGGGTCCTCCCCGGGGTTCTTAGGCCTCACCTCCACGGTAGGGGCAGGTCTCCCACACATGTCCCTTAGCCTGACAGAGTCCACAGTCCTGTTCAGGCTTTGTCTGAGTGTTCCCTTGCCCCTTCTGGACCTCTCTCTGAGATTGCTGGGTGCCTAGATACCCCAACTTCAGGGTCGGCTCCAAGGCCCCCAAGTCCTTTGCCTTCCTGACCTGTTGGCAGTGCGGGCGCCCTGGCCATAAAAAAACAGGACTGCCCTCAAATGGAGTGTGGGCTAGCAGACTTTTGTGGGTGGACTGGGGGGTGGGGGGAACCAGGAAAATTGGCCCTTAACCACCAATCCCGTGTTGGTGGGGGGAAGCCCCAAAAGGGTTTGGTGGGCTCTGCCTCCACCTGCTCACTGGTCGGTAAGGGTCTGGTGAAGACACATTGGATGGTTCTGGGGACAAAGGTAGCCCTTCGGTGTGTCCATGGGGACACCTGGAGCTATCGGATAGCCCGAGTTCCCCTGGAGGTCCAGGGGCATTTCCAGTGGCAGCAGGTAGGGGTAGTGGGGAGGTTACCCTACCCAGACCTACTGGGAAGCGATTGGGGGGGGAGGCCCTACTTGCGGGAAAGGAAGTGGGCCCTGCACTGAGGCAAAACCAAGTAAGCCTAGACCATCCTTAAATGGTTTTTTGTCAACCTCTTCATAAAAACCTCCTATGATGGAGATTCCACAACCTCCCAAGTAATTTGTTCCAGTGCTTAACAACCATGACAGTTAGGAAGTTTTTCCTAATTTCCAACCTAAACCTCCCTTGTTGCTATTTAAGTCTATTGCTTCTTGTCCTGTCCTCTGTGGTTAAAAAGAAGAATTTATTACTCTCTTCTTTGTAACAATCTTTTACATACTTGAAGACTGTTATCATACCTCTCCCCCACCCCCGGTCTTGTTTTTTCAATCTTCCCTCATAGGTCATGTTTTCTAGACCTTTAATCATTTTTGTTGCTCTCCTCTGGACTTCCTCTAATTTGTCCACATCTTTCCCAATGTGGAGGGCACTAAACTGGACACAATACTGCAGCTGAGGCCTTATCAGTGCTGAGTAGAACGTGGGAATTGCTTCTTGTGTCTTCCTTGCAACATTTCTGCTAATAAATCCCAGAATGATGTTTGCCTTTTTTGCAGCAGTATTACATTGTTGACTCATATTTAGTTTGTTGATACACTACAAACTCCAGATCCTCTCTGCGGTACTCCTTCCTAGGCAGTCCCTTCTCATTTTGTGCAATTGCTTCTTCCTTCTTAATTGGAACACTTTTTTCCTTTGTCCTTACTGAATTTCATCTTGTTTATATCAGACCATTCCTCCAGTTTGTCAAGATCATTTTGAATTCTAATCTTGTCCTCCAAACTGCTTGCAACCCCAGCATGGTATAATCTGCAAATTTTGTATGTGTATTCTCTATGCCATGATCCAAATAATTTATGAAGATATTGAATAGAACCTGACCCAGGACAGATCCCTGCAGGACCCTGCTTGATATGCCCTTCCAGCTCAACTGTGAATCATTGATAACTATTCTCTAGGTATTTATCAGGGCTTGCTTAGGGACCTCTTTGTGCAATATATTGACTCCTCCATTGTCCTTGTCTTCTAGAAATGAGAGTCAATTTCTGTACATCTGTTACAATGCTTTGAGTTATGGGCAGGGAGGAGCAGGAGTCATGTTTAGGAACATGACTTAGAAGAACTGTAAAAATTTTGGATGCTTTTATTTCTGTTGTCTAGCTGGGCTTTAAAAGCATGTGACAAGAGTTGGAGTGTCAATGTCGGCAAAGAGTGTTCTATCAGCCGCGCTTTCTGCATTTTCTTGGAGTTTGTCTATTTTCTGAATAATGGACTTTTTCTTGTTCCGGTCCAATCCTCGACAGGTGAGAACAGCTTCAATATGTTCCTTTCTGTGAAAAACAAAACCAGTGTCATTCTTGGGGAGCCCAAACAATGCAAATAAACAGCAAGCCACGCCCTAAGGTAAGGTAGAGCGGAAACAGCCAAACACTGTTTCCATCCCTTAATATATCTCAGGTGTTCTCTGCCGATTATCCCATAGTCACTGTGGGCTGACATAGAGCATTGCTGAGGGGCCTGGAGGCATAAAAACTCTGGGACAATCAGTGATGCTGGTGAATGGGATAGCTTAATGGTCTCTGATACAGGCAGTTGTGGGTAAAATACAACATAGCTGCAAGTGCCCAGGAATGTCTTTTTCACAGTCAGCTGGGAGACTTGCTCCTGTAAGGACTGCTGGGTCAGGGTACAATGTAAGTGTTAGTATAGAATCAAATTCTGCCATCTTTATGTCGATTAATACCTTATTCTGTGAGGAGTCTCATTATCTTCAACATGGCCACTCGCCAGGTGGGTTACTACTTATTATGAGTAAGGCTGGCAGAACTGGGCCCCAAGATTTGCAAACACAAAATGGGAGTTCAGTGCTCATCTCCTATTGGAAGCCAATGGGAGTTAGGTGCTTACCTGCTCTTTGTGCTTTGAAAATCTACTCCCTGGATGTTTTCTACATTAATGTGAAATCTCCACCTTCATCGCACTAAGATTTCCTGAGAAGCTGGGGGCCTTTTATGTAACGAGTATTTGATTGTTAAATAATGTGGGCAGTAATACTCAAGAAATGGACAGGCACTAATTAGATTAGAGCTAGTAAAGAAGACTTAAGTAGCGGGCACTATTTCAGAAATCTGGGCGCAGTCAGATGCAGAAACCCATCTGAAAATCTGAGTCATGACTGCTAGGCTCTAAAGCAAGACAGTGCTAGGAGGCTCTGGCTGGTTTTCAAAACTTGCTTGGCCAAAGATTCTAAGATTCAGCAAGTGCAAGCTAAGAAACAAAAGCCAAGTTGATGAACTTTGAAATCTACTTGTAGTTGCGTTTTAAGGCTAATTATTAAAATTGTCATTGACCCCAATCCAGCAGATTTAAGAGTGTCACATGCTTTAAAGTTAAGTATGTGCAGAAGTCCTTTGGGGCTTTTTTTTTTTTTAGGGTTAGATTGGTTAAATATTTTGGATTCAGTTTCTGTGTTCTGAGCAATCTGCTAAATTTAATGCTTAAATTAATCCGTGTGCAAATAACATCCAGTGGTCAGGGCCGATACAAGGAAGTTTTGCGCCCTAGGTGAAACTTCCACCTTGCGCCACCCCCGCCCCCCAGCCTTGCGGCAGCTCCCCACCCCCCTCCACCCTGAGGTGCCCCGCCCCCCGCGGCAGCTCCCACCCCGGCCCGGGGAGCCATGCGGCAGCTCCTCCCCCGCCTTAAGGCACCCCCCCCGTGGCAGCTCACCACCCGCCGGCCCGGGGATCCGTGGGGCAGCTCTGACCCAGGGGTTCCCCTGGGCTGCCGGCGGCGTGCTGACCCGGGGAACCCCTGGGCTGCCGGCAGCGCGCTGACCCAGGGGAACCCCTGGGCTGCCTGCCGATGGCTCAGACTCCCTCTCCCTCCCAGCGTAGCGGCCGCTAGTAAAAAAAAAAAATTGGGGGCGCCACTTTTTGGCGCCCCCAAATCTTGGCACCCTAGGCAACCGCCTAGTTGGCCTAAATGGTAGCACCGGCCCTGCCAGTGGTAACCACACAACATAGTGCAATCACCTGCATTAGCTTTACAAACTAACTTTTGTGAAACATACTTTAAGCTTTGCTGTTTAGTGGATATATTGATGTCATTAAACTCTATTGTTTTTGAAGTATGATAATACCACCAAAGTTCTAGTTCTAGAGAAACAATAACCTTACATGTATCAGACTCCTTATTGAGTCATGGAAAATCAATTGATAGTTTCGAGGGGCCTAAGGATATGAGATCATACCTGACTTGTAGGTACTGTGGACAAGCGCAGTGCTTCAGATTCACTTTGGTGTAAAAGAATGGCCCAAAAGCCCACAATAAAAGCTGAGACATGTGTATCAGGTTCTGCTCTGTCTGATGTCGCTTTGCCACTGAAGGCTGGATTGTAACCTTACAATCCCCTGGCCAGGTTTGGAAATCTCAACCATAACTTCACTTTTTAAAAACAAAAGACTAAATTCTGCAGCAATCTGGGGCCCAGGAGAAATGCTCAATATGCACCTACCCCTGTGTAGTCATAGACATAGAGTTTAAGGCCAGGAGAGACCAGCAGATTCCAGTCTGATCTTCTATCACAGGTAACCAACACCACCCAGCCAGCCTAGCACCAAGCCCAACAACTAGCATTAGACCACATTATTGCAGCCCTGGCTCCATCCAACCCCTGTATCGATGTTATATTTATATTTCTAGTGTGCCAACCACCATGGCATCTAGTAGCCAAATTAGGATATTATTTATCCTATAATCCTGGAAGGATACATATTCTCTGCCTCACCCTCAGTAGGGTTGAAATCCATACAGGAGGTTTTAGAGAGGAATTCGCCCCCACTTAGAGAGGAAGATGCCCTTTCTTATACAGCTGCCATTCCACATATGGGTTTTTAAAAACAGCCTCCAATTTTGCAGGTGCAATTTTGGAAGCACAATAAATTGAGGGCACAAAAGAGAGCATTTAGATGCCAAACTACTGGATTGTGCCAGCAAAATCAGGGTCTGGGATGCGGCCCCTTCAAAAATCCAGTTAAAATTTTCAAAAGCAGCAACTGACCTTGGAGGCCTCAGTTTTTGGGTGCTCATCTTAAGACCTAGACCAAACCCATTTCCTCCAACGCTGAGCCCTGCAAATTGGCTAGCACAGAGCCTTCAAATAAAACACAGTAAAACAATACGGGATCGGAAATAACTTCTGTGCACCATAAAGTTCAGCTGATTCTGCTGCTACCAACCCGGAAGCAAATTATATAAATATTCAGGGGCAAAAAACCTGAGCTTCATCCTGCTCACAGCACTTTACATTGAGAAAACCTCTGATATTAACCCCACATACCTGACATCTGGATAAGCCTGACATATTTCCTCAATATATTCCTTGATTTTGCATCTGTTCTTCTCGGAAATTATGTTTGCAATGTAATGAATGGCAGAATTAAGCCAATCCACATCAGAGCCCTAGAAATAAGTTAGAAGAGGTGAAGTCTGTGATCTGTATTTTAATGAGAAATGTCAACATGTATGATTCACATTTACAGAGAAGTTAACCAACTTGCTCAAGATCATGGCGTGAAGCCATGGCAGTCAGCCTCGAACCTTGTTCTTCTCCTGACTCCTAGTCTCTAACTTGTAGGCCATGCAGCCTCCCTGTGAGACTCTCTATAGAAACAATAACACATGGCAGTGGATGTTACACTGTAATATGATGTCTTGGGTGTATTGCAATGTTGCATAGAAAGGACCAACAGTGAGTCTGTGAAATGAAGGGGAACAGGGTCCAGAGGTTTTAGTTTTTCTGTGGCATTATCAACCGTTTTTAAGGCATTGTTAGTCTCAGTGGTTCACAAAGGGTTTTAAAAGCAAGCAGCTGCTTTCAGGCTCCTTCCTTGGAACTGGGAACAGTGGGGACGGAGCTCTTGTGTGCATGAAGGCCGCTTAGATCGTCCTACTGGAATTTCAGTAGGGGTCCAACTCTGCAGTCACGTGAGTAGGCCCAAGGGGACTGAGTGCATGAGTATGGCCCACTCATGTGAATAACAGTTTGAAGGTTCGTGCCTGGACTAAGTTGACCAGATAGAAGTGTGAAAAATTGGGACAGGGGGTGGAGTGGTATATAAGGTGCCTATATAAGAAAAAGCCCCAAATATTGGGACTGTCCCTATAAAATTGCAACATCTGGTCACCCTAGCCTGGACCCTGCATGATAATATGGTAGATATCAAATGCCAACCTCTTGGAAAGCTGATTTGTCTGCATTGCCCTGAGTGGCTATTTCCTCTACCTCGCTTGCCAAAGAAGCACTACTCTTGGCTCACTAATGATCAAAGCTGGGAGGTTTGAAAAGAACCTAAAGCAGTTCAGTGCCCAAATCCCTTGAATTTCAATAGCAGTTGGGCACCCACCTCCCTCAGGCTGGGATATTCAACGGCATCAAAGTGCTTTGAACGTTGGTATCAATGACTACAAAGGGTGCAGTCAGCAGTAACTCAAGCCTGAAATATCACCCATCACAAAGCCCCGGCTTCTGCCTCTCCAGGCCTTCTCTGGATGAGGACGGTTTTCCTAAAAATATCCCACTGTTGATCTCTCTGGTTTCTCTCCATCAGTTATAGCAAAGGTGGGCATAGTGCTAATGCAGACAAGCTTCAGGCAGCCCCTAGCATTTTAATCGCTGCCATCTAAGCCTGTTGTGAGCAGGGTTCGGTGGGGCAGGGCCTGACCCATATTTTCATTTGAAGTCACTGGGAGCTTTTTGAAAAGTAGGTCTGTGGTCCTTAAGCTACTAGTGACTGCAGACGCCTTGTCTACACCAGTTCTAGTACTGGTTGAGCTGAACCAGTGATTGCAACAGTGGGGGATTTTAGGAAAACTATGCTAGTGTAGTCACAGCCCTATCGACCGGCTGCTTCTCATGTTGGGTTTCACACCAGCCCACCTTTCATTTTCTGTAATGCAGCTAAAAAGGCCTTGATGCAGTAGGAGGTTTTACATACCAGCTCTTTGAAGTGCTTATGTATGACAGTAGCTTCTTCCTTCATCTTTTTGCCAACCTTTTCCCGCTTGGCTCTCTTCATTCTCTTTCTCGGTTTGATAGCCTGTGTGATGTACTCTCTCACCACGTACTTGTGAGCATCCCCTAGAAAATCCTGTTTATTTGTTTTAAAAGAAAATATGGAGGGCAATGAGGTGTGAGAGCAGAGGAGCCTTGGAACTCCTTGGCAATGTCCGAAGAGGTAGATGAGAATCCTGGGCTGAGCATCTCTGGGCTAATGAGCACACATGAAAGGCCAGCCCAGGATTCTGTTCTGAATGCCACTTTTCGGAAGAGCACTCGGCGCAGTGCATGGATGCTTCTGAGCAGGACACATGGCTCATGTTCCCTTCCATCCACCATCTGCCTAGACATGAAGTGAAGATAGTGAACAAAAAGAAGCCGTATAATTACTCACTGTCTCTATCCAAAATTGATCCATGATTATATGTTGGTGATTTGGTTCTTCAGTAACTAATGGGGACATGTGGGACTGTTTAATCATAGGTTTGGATGCTGCCTGCAGACTTTAAATTTAGAGCTATTGTTACCTATCCTTGTATTTCGCGAGTGTATAGATCTGTGCAGTGTATATGACAGTAGCATGTTAAAGTAACTACTGCAATCTTCTTCGTATGGCAGATATAGATGTAAAGCAACAACTATAATTCTACATTTAGGTGGTTAAGCCAGATAATTGCGTCAGGAGTAGTAGAGTATATCACTGTGATGCCTCCTTTGTATTTGTGAATCGAGCATTGAGTCGTTTTATGTTTCATGATCTGTTCTGGGTGACCACAGTTGCACACTGGAGAGTTTTTTGTTTTCCATTTGTGCAACAAGTATACACATCTGCCATGGTTTGCATGGATGTGTTTTAGGGTTGCCCATGAGCTTCCTGAAAGATTGAAACCAGGGGGTCTCCTATATTGGATTGTTCACAAGGTACTTGTGACTTCTTGTGAACTTCATTCAGCTTTCCAAGCTTCATCAAAGTTGAAGTCACACTATTAAAGGTTAAGCACGTGGGTCCAAAAGGGCTCACATGCCTTCAAGTGGAGGTGGGGGATGTTGTTAAGGTCTTGGTGGATGTGGAGACATTTGCTTCCCTTGAGTCGCTGGACTTCCCAGAGGGTTGCAACATTGCAGCGAACCGATGGAGGAACAATGTGCAACAGCACTGGCAGCCAGGGTGTTGCAATTGAACAGTGATACTAACCAATGCTTTTGGTTCCTCCTTGAGACCAGTTCCCCTATTTCAGCTGTAGAAAGGAAGCACTAAAAGGTTATTTCCATGAAAAAGTAAGGGACTGTGACAGCGTACCCCATAAGGCTTTTTGGGGGGGTGTTTATAAATGTATGTATGATATAACTGGAATATGTTTTGTGCTGCCTGTGCCATGTAACATATCTCCGTAAAGGTTATGGTCTACTATATCTATTCATCCTATTTGTACATATATATCATTTTCTACTTAAGGTTAAGAATATGGGCTGTATGCTTGCTTGGTTTCTAAGTAAGCTTTGGGAGGCATTTGGTCAGCTTCTTTAGGAAGGAATTCGCCAGGTTAAGTACCTGATCAGGAAACACTTGGGGAACAATGCATCTTGGAATGCTCCAATCCACATGAGAAGTTTTCCTGGAGACACGCAAGATGCCATGTGGACAATGGCGTTGGCCTGTAAAGACTGAGTTATTCAGGGGCATGTGACTGCCCAGGTGACTCCAGAACTCCATCTTGGAGCTGGACTTTGCATAGGAGGGAGGAGGGGGGTCTCCACCCACAAGAGCCTATTTAAACCCATGGGAGACCCCTCCATTTGGTCTTCAGCTGGCTAAAGAAGGAGCCTCTCCGCCCCCCCAGGATACTTGAAGGGAACTGGAACAAATGACAGTAACTACAGGGAGTGTGAGTGATTGCTGGACCCAGGCTAAAAGGAGATTAGCCTGTAAAAGGGAGTGCTCTGGAACTGGTGAGGAAATTATCTGTATTTAGTTTGATTAGACATAGATTTGCTCATTTTGTTTTATTTTGCTTGGTGACTTACTTTCTGTCTGTTATTACTTTGAACCACTTAAATCCTACTGTCTGTATTTAATAAA